TGTGGCAGGTAAAAATGTTCTATTCTACTTTCAGATACTCTTTGGCTACAGAATTAAATCAAAGAAATAACTAGATGGGGGCGCCTGTCTTGCTCAGTTTGGTTAAGCATCCAACTTCAGCTCAGGTCATGATCTCAAAGTCTGTGAGTTCTAGCTCCACGTTGGGCTTTGTGCTGATAGCTCAGAGCCTGAAGCCTGCTTCAGATTCTGTATCTTTTTCTCCTTCTCTACCCCTCCCCTGTTCATGCGCCATCTCTCTCTCTCTCAAAAATAAACATGAAAAAAAAAAAAAACTGGCTGGATTAAAGAGGTCACCTCATTACCATTTTAGAGCACATGCCTGAATACACATTTAGAAAAGGGATTCTTTTCAGGGAGGCAAAGTTTGATTTTAATTTTTTCAGGTTTATTTATTTATTTTTGAGAGAGAGAGAGAGGGAGAGAGAATGAGTGGGAGAGGGAGCGGGGATGGGGTGCAGAGGATCTGAAGCAGGCTCTGTGTTGACAGCAGAGACCTCGATGCAGGGCTTGACCTCACAAAATGTGAGATCACGATCTGAGCTGAAGTCAGACCTTAACTGACTAAGCCACCCACGTGTCCTGAATTTGACTTTAATAAGAAGGAACACAGAGGTGCCTGGGCAGCTTAGTTGGTTCAGCATCCGACCTCAGCTCAGGTCATGATCTCACTGTTTTGTGGGTCTGAGCCCCACAATGGGCTCTGTGCTGGCAGCTTAGAGCCTGGAACCTGGTTCTGGTTCTGTGTGTGTGTGTCTCTCTGCCCCTCCCCTACTCACACTCTGTCTCTCTTTGAAAAATAAACAAACATTAAAAAATTTTAAAAAATGAGGAATACAGCAGGGGAAGACTTTGATTAAAAAGAAATATCAGTTCTGCCTTTCTATCTTCTCTTCTCTCAGCTTCCTTCTCTCTTCTATTTCCTTCTCTCTTTCCTCTTGTCTCTTCTCCTATGACTTTTCTTACTTTATTGAGTAACTACTGCTTGAAAGGCACTGCATCAAAGAATATTACTCGATGATCAAAAAGAATGAAATCTTACCATTTGCAACAATGTGGATGGAAGTAGAGTGTATCTAGATGGACCTAGAGTGTAAGTGAAATAAGTCAGTCAAAGACAAATATATGATTTCACTCATATGTGATATTTAAGAAACAAAATAGATGAACATAGGGGAGGGGAAGGAAAAATAAGATAAAAACAGAGAGGGAGGTAAACCATTAGAGACTCTGAACTACAGAGAACAAACTGAGGGTTGCTAGAGGGGAGGTGGGGGGGGGATGGGCTAAATGGGTGATGGGCATTTGTTGGGATGAGCACTGGGTATTATACGGGTTAAGTGATAAATTACTAAATTCCACTCCTGAATCCAATACTACATTATATGTTAACTAACTTAAATTTAAATAAATTTAAAAAAAGAAAAAATAAATATATGAATATACTTGCTATTTAACTTTCAGCCAATTAGTTTCTGGCATTTTTCTCTATTTGAAACTAAGAATAATAACCCTTTACTATGACATTTCTAGAAATGAGAAAGGTCATACAGACAGTATAAACAATTGACAATAGTTAAATAAATACTGATGTCAGACTTGTCTGCTTTCTGGGTCTCATGATTAAATGATTCTTTCATTGCAGTTAGTGTAAAAATAAGTATTATTGGGGTATCTGGGTGGCGTAGTGGGTTAAGCGTCCCACTCCTGGTTTCAGCTCAGGTCACGATCTCATAGCTCATGAGTGCAATCCCCCCATTGGACTCTGCACTGACACTGCAGAACCAGCTTGGGATTTCCTCTCTCACTCTTTACCCCTCCCGTGTGTGCATACTCTGCCTTACTCTCTCTCAAAATAAATAAATAAATAAATAAATAAACTTAAAAAAATAAGTAGTATAAAAACATTGGTCCTTGACAGCATAGTGTGACATGAATGCAAAGAAACCATTTTATAAGAGACATCATCATGTATCTCATTTAAATTTGATTAAGATAAGTAACTGGGACTAAATTAACACCATCATTAGAATAGGTTTTGTGATTCCTTGAATCACATAGCTAATGTCTTTTGAGACCCTTGAAGTACTGTGACATTATAATCAATTGGGAGAAAGCAAATTAATTGCTGCCCAGTGGCCATCAACCTTTGGTCAACTGTTCGAAGTGCCACAGTACAGGTCAAGGGAGGAACTATTTTCTTGATGATGTCCTAAACAAAAGGGTTATGAGTTCATCTATTAGCTAGCAGAGAAATACTTTTAAAAAATATGAAGTAAAAACTTCTCATGATTACTGCTTCATTCCTCTTCACACAAAATTATAAAGGAAATTCTTGGGAAATAAGCTATAGATGAATGGAAGAGGATAAAAATTACCTTTGAAATTGTAGCAGTCATTACTGAAAAGTGCCAGAGGAAGTGTACAGGGATCACTTATCAAAGTGATATAAGCCAGTAAAAGTGAGTTGAGTTAATTTCAGTTTGAGGGAACAGGAACAAGTTTAGATCTATAAATTTTTTATGAAGCAATTTTGTTACACCTGATTTGTATGTAAGTCATGAAAACTGAACTGAGTTTTCTTTCCTATGAAAGCTGGAGGCAAATTTGGCTTAAAGCCTAGAAGAATAGAGTACTAGAGTGTTCTTTCAGATCTCTCTCTAGAAAGTTGTTCCTGTGTATGTTATAGAAACATCATCTTTCTTCTATCATTCTCAGTGGCTAAATGACAAGGGTTGTTTATTTTTTTAGCAGTAATGCTGAATAATTCAAGTCACTTCTGAACTTTGTAATGTCATTTCTGCCAAACATACCTAAATCCTCTGAGATTTGTCATTAAGAGTTAAGAATTAAGCCATTAAACTACAAATCATCCATTCCTCAATTCTAATCACTGAAATATTAATAATATATGTGAAAACTGTGTTTTTATATTTGCAGCTCTGAGCACTTAGCTTACATAAATTTTTATTTCTAGTCTTTTGCAACACCACCATCACCACCAACAGTAAGAATGATAACATTTCTGAGCAACTGAAACCATTTTTGTTTCTAAAGAGGAAATAAAAAGTGGCACTCATTAGAATTAAAATTGCTAGTTTTAAATTCACATCGTTTTGGTTCCTACTATATCAGTGGCATTGCTGGCCACAAAGGCTCCAACCATATCGGTAATTATCCAATGATAAAACCAAATGACATTAAAGCATATTTACAATTTGTTATTTTGTATGTTTTAATTGGGTAGGCAAGGGTAATTGAAGAGCAACAGAAAAATAGAAATAATAACGTTAGGCCTTGTTGGTATAATTTTGTTAAGAAAAGCAAGAAATGTGCATGTTGAAATTTTGTTTCTATTGGATTTCCTAGTGTCTGAATGTTCCCAGGATTGGTGATGTCATTGAATGCATTGATGTCATCAGCATAATTTGTGGCATAATTATTATGGTTAAAAAGCACCAGAATTATGCTAAGTTTTAAAAGAATTTTTGATATAAGGTGTGAGCAGGAGGTGGGACAGAGGGCCAGGGAGAGAGAGAACCTTAAGCAGGCTCCACACTAGTGGGGGGCTGACAGAGGCTGGATCTCATGAACTATGAGATTGTGACTTGAGTTCAAATCAAGAGTCAGATGCTTAACCAACTGAGCCACCTAGATGCCCCCAGAATTACAATAAATAAAACTCCAAGGGGCTTCTGGGTGGCTCAGTTGTTGAAGCATCCAACTCTTGATTTCAACTCAGGTCATGATCTCATGGTTGTGAGATTGAGGCCCACATCGGACACCACTGCTTAAGATTCTTTCGCTCCCTTGCCCTCTGCTTCTCTCTCTCAAAAAACAGAAAACTCCAAGAATCAATATCCTAATTCTATTTTGCTAAGACACATATAAAATATAAAGTCAGTTTGTATCCTTCATACAACAGAAGAAGGCAGCTTGATATTTTACAAATTGGCAGGAAAAAGACAATTTCTGAAATAATATTATGTATAATCCAGAAAGCGATTTACTAAACTTAAAATTTCATTTTATTTCATTTTTTTAAAAGTTTACTTATTTTTGAAAGAGAGGGACAGAGCATGAGTGCAGGCAGGGCAGAGAGGGATGGAGACCCAGAATCCGAAGCAGACTCCAGGCTGCATGAGATCATGCCCTGAGTTGAAGTTGGATGCTTAACCAAACTGAGCTACACAGGTGCCCCTGAAATTGCATTTTAAAAAGCTCAATCTCCAGGGTGCCTGTGTGGCTCAGTCGGTTAGACATCCAGTTTTTGATTTTGGCTCAGGTCATGATCTCATGGTTGGTAGGATCGAGCCCCGAGTGCTGTCAGCACAGAACCTGCACAGGATTCTCTCTCTTCTTTTCTATATGCTCTCTGCCAGTTGCTCTCTTTCTCCTTCTCTGTGTCTCAAAATAAATACATAGACATGAAAAAAATGCTCAATTTCCTATATTTTCTCTCTCATTGATAAAATAGAGCTTTGGTCAGATTGAAATTTTGGGAAATACTGCATTAATTTTCTTTTTTAAATTCTTCCAAATTTGCTACTTTCTAGCTTTTTATCCAACCACTTCCCTTTAATGAAATTAAACTTTAATTAAATGTCTATAAACTTGCCCAAATATGGAATTACTCTTTCTATTAATAATGCTGTTTTTAATTCTCTTTTCTAGCCAATTATCTTATTTTTATTCTTGAGTACAAAATTTGGGATCTAAAGCTCTTTATGTAAAAATTATTCTAGAAGAAGCAGCAGCATTATGCTAGCTGGGTGCTCAGGTTATAGATCCATCCTCCACTTCCTCTTACTACTTCCATGGCATTTGATATCATAAATGTCATCCCTGCATTAAGGAAATGTTGCTTGCATTCTCTTTCAACAATATCTTAGTAATATTTATTTCTGTATTGTGTATCTTTCAGTTGTGAGTATAGTCCTATGCTGTATATGGTGGCAGAAAACTTCACCTGAAATACCTACCAGCAGGAATCCTGGGGGGCAGAGATCCTCCCCCTGGCACTGGATGCGGGGCCTGGATGCTATTTAAAAACCCTGCCCTCAGGAAGCTGGGGCAAAACGCCTCCACCCCAATGGCCAGGAAGGATCCTTTTAAGAGATAAAAATGGACATTAATCAAAATCTTCTTTGTGGAAAAGCTGTCAATCATATAACTGGGAAAAAAAAAACTATACTTAATAAAAAACATCAAACCTTAAAAGTAAGCTATAAAATTAAAAGGAATGAATGCATTTTTATTCATAAATGTAAAAATTCAATCTAGGTTTTGAAAAGAAAGCTACTCTTAACTAGTTACAATGCAAAACAGGGTAGAAGTAGTAGAATGCGAAATAAAATCTCTAAACCTACATTTGACAAAGTGGATATAAATAAAAGTCATTGAGGTTGTCTATTTGCAGAGTCGTCCACATAAGTGACATGCACAGGAGACAGTCACAGCGGATCTGAGATCAAAGCTGCACTGGAAGGAGCAGTGATTTGCGTTAGTTCTATCAGGAGTGGTGCTTAAAGTGAGGAAACCTTTTACACCATACAGCAATTATATATGTTTTTGAAATAGCGGTAAGGAAATCCACATACACAATTCTTAATTTGTTACACCTTTTATTAGGGAAAAGACAGAGTTTGCAAAGGTAGAATCACATGCTTTTTCACTTTTATGAAGGCTACTGTAAAGCAAAAAACCAAAAGGAAACCACTTGGAAGTTTATTCATAAGATTACATGATGAATTGTGAGTAAAAGAATGTCAGAGTTGGAAAAGACATCAGAGGTCATCCAGTCAAAAAATCATTTTACAGACTAGCAAACTGAGGCATGAAAAAGGTAAGGGGTGTCACGTAGCTGGCAGACTCCTAGGACAAAATCTTTACTGTGTAGATTAAAAATAAATAATGAGCCGTTTCCTATATGGGAGATTGTTGTTCTCTGAATATGAATGAGAAACCCTGCAGTTTGGAATAACAGCATTATAATTTGGTGTCTCAATGACCTGAAAGACACTAAAATTATTCAGAAGAAAATTTAATATACATGCACTATCAAGTGCATAGGCAGCACTGGTAATTGATATGGTATATCTAAGTTTAATCACAATAATGCTCTAAAAGCAAGTTACACTGATGATTGTAAGGAGAGCATATCATTTGGGTCCTCTGAAACTCCAATCAGGCCCAGCAGTTTCCAAATAAAGAGACCTTGGATCAATCCTCCCAGGCTCAGTTTTAACAAGTCCTACATTTTTAAAGAGACTTTATCTGTTCATTGACAGCAATTTTTCACCTAAAATATGTTAAAATTTATAGCCTCTTTGAACTCCGACCAGGATTAAAGAGACCTGGTATAACACATTCTATAAAATTTACTTCTATGGAAAAAGTTGCTGCTAAAGAAAAGACAGCATTCTTAGATCTTTAAAGATGTTTAGAAAACGAAGTTACAATGTATGTTTTAATGCATGAGGCCTATTTTTTGTGCCTTGGATTAACGAAAGCATAGAAAGAAAATCAAATACTGTAAATAAACTGGTTTTCCTGTTGATTTAATGAGACTTTAGTGAAAAGGTCCAGCAGCGTTTGAGTCCCTTAAACATGAAGAGATGTGGCTATAGTGCCAAGTAGTAGGTCAGGGAAAGTGTTCTGAGGGAACTTTCGATGAACAGTGAGTCTAATTTCTTCTTTGCTACTATTTGGGGTATGTATCATTGAGCACAAATACTCCCCCATGTACAATGTTTTCCATGCAAGGCATTTTCCACACTGCAATGTCTCAACACCGTGTGAGAAAATACCCATCACTAAGGAGCATCACTGAATACCAGATAGAGATAATTATGTATTCATACTGTATTCTTAAAGTAATAAAATGGTGATTTTACAACGGACAAAATAATTATAAGAAATTCAGATTTTATTATAGGCTGGAGAACAGAAATATTACAATTTAGCTGATTATGGATTTATTGAAGACAAGTGATAGAAAACTTGGGTGGTTCAATTGGTCATGATCTGAACTGAAACTCATGGTTCATTGAGTTTGAGTCCAGGGAAGAGCAGAGACTGCTTAGGATTCTCTGCCCTTCCCCTGCTTGCAGGTTCTCTCTCTCTCTTTTGGAAAAATAAATAAATAAACTTTTAAAAAAGAATACTAGATTGTAAAGAAAAAGAACATAATCATGCACAGGAAAGAAAAAGGAATATAAATGCAATTATCTTAAAAGAAATTTGAAGAAAAACAAAAGTGTGTAGAGTAGACTTTAAATAATTTTAATATGCTTCAGATTTAGAGGTTTTTATCTTTGTTTTTTTATTTTTGCCATATTATTTGAAATTGTTAACTTAGAAAAGATGTCCATTATTTTAACTTCTTGAAAGAAACAACATACAAATATTATTTTATTGCTATGATTACACTGATTACTATTTCTGTTGTTGTGACAGCCTGTCATATTTAATAGCAGCTTTCATTTTCCAAAACCTGCTGCATCATTCATAATGGCTTTGTTATGTTTCTTTACTGTGGGTTAAAAGGTCTTTCATTTATTGTGGCATCTCTTCCTTAAGGGACTGTCATTTTTTTATATATAAAACAAACAAACAGAAAAGCTGGTGTACATGAATATTCAGTTGAAATATCATATTATGTGATAATAATGCCTTATTATTTTCCTCCTTAGGGTCAGTCATGTCAATAGAGATTGCATGAAACACTATAGCTTTGTTTTCACAATTGAATAATGAAGCTGAATTTATTTGTTATAATTCCCTTATCTCTTAATCTACAAGAAATTCAGTTCAGGAAACTTTCGGGATTTAATATAAAATAATTTTAGTCTGGTTTGCCCTATTGATTAAGTTGCTGGCTCTTGCTGTGTTTTTTAAAATACATAATTGTAGCAAAGAAAAAAAAAGAGACACACAAACCAAGAAAGAGACTTTTAACTATACTGAACAAACTGATGGCTATGGGGGTGGGGGGTGACGGATGAAACAGGTGATGGAGATTAAGGAATGTACTTGTGATGAGCACCGGGTGTTGTATGGAAGTATTGAATCACTGTATTTTACACTGAAACTAATATTACACTCTATGTAAACTATACTGGAATTAAAATAAAACAAACAAAACAACAAGAACAAAATAAATAAGAAACTGTGGAACTTAGTATATTGTAGCCAAAGAATGAATGTAGCAAGATAAATGTAATTGTCCATCAATATTTTGTTTTTATGTGCATTCAGTAGACTCTTTGTCAATATAAATTAGATTTTTGTTTGATGCGAGTATTCCTCTAGCTACTACAAGTTTGAAATATAAGATGTGTCACTTTACACACGCTTTTCTAAATCTCAAATAAGTGACTTTCCAGTTTGCAGTTTGCTAGTGATCTTGAGTCGGTGGGTTAAAGAGACACCAGAATAGGACATTAGCATTATATTATCTCTAACATAGAGTTACCAGATAATCAGGTGTCCTGTATTTTTATTTGCTAACTCTGGCAACCCTCCCCAAATATAATTCCAAACACTTCTGAGTATCACACTAACAAAATACTCTATTAACTACTGGTCTAAGGTAAATTAACATAAGTCACTGGCTGCAGAAGTTGATGATTTGTCTGTCCTTCAGTAGCTCAGTGGTTGTCATTGTCCCTTAGGGACTACTGCAAATTACTACTGGGGAAATACACTATTTAGTGGGTGAGGGTCAGGATATGAGCTAAAGGCATTGCAATAACTGGTATACTCCCTCCACCAAGGGGAATTTCCCTCAAAATAGTAGTAGCACCACTGAGAAACACTCTGAGAGTAAAGCATCCTTTGAAAAATGGTTGTTAGTGACTACAGTGTAAAAAAAGCAGAACTTGACATGGACTGAATTTTCACATCTGGTCTGATCAATTAATGGAGGATTCTGATTGCCCAGATTATATGAAAGTAACGTGGCCTATAGGATAACCAGTTTTCAAAGAGTTATAGTAAAATATAATTAACAAGTAAACTCAATGAAACAAAAATCTCATTTTAATTTGATATGGCAGCAATCTCTTTGAAATAGCTTTGCACTGGATATTCAACATCATTAAGAATTTGCATAAAAAGATGACTATGACTTTAAACTCTTTGCATCTTCATTTCCTTATATGTAAAATGAAAGTAACAACTGACCCCACCTCATGGGACTATTTGTAAGGGTTATATAATGCAAATAATCATAAATATAAGAAAATATTCTTAAACTGTCCTATTTTTTTAAAAAAAGAAATTTCTTTGAGTGGGAAACTGAGGTAGATTGATTAATTTTCTAATGCAGAACTATCCCCTCCACCTCACACATACACAAAAACTGAACAGAAAAAAATCCTTTCTTTGTAAATTATGTATCAATAATTTAATTTTGTCTGAAAAGTTTAATAAAGGCAATATCCCTATAATAATGAAATTTTTCATATGTGGCTTCCTCAAATTGTCTCCATTTTGCCTTATTTTTGAAGATACACTTCGATCTATGTGTAGAAAAAGAACACCTAGACACAGTTAAAGAGAGTTTAGAATTGTAAACTGAAAATATATGCACACATGTGTATTAAATTGTAAATAAAATATATTCATAATACTCTCTATGGAGAATGCTCCAACATTTTTATTGTTTGAGGTGTGTAATCCGAGAATTTTGGAGAATGCTAGTTTAAACAATAAAACGGTGAGAAAATGCTAGAATGTTCATGAAGTAAAACATTTACTTCAAGAGCTTGAACAATTAGGGCAGGGCCTTGATTTCACCTGGCTTCAGGCAGTCATTCCAGAAGCCATGTTGCTCCTTAAACAGTGGCTCTCAATCTTGTGTATACATTAGAAAATAGGTACACAAGTTCCAAGCAAACACACAGAACACACAGAAAATAGAAAAGCCATGTTTTCAACTCCTAAAAAGAGTTCTTGTCAACTACAATGTGATGTAAGGATGATCTATACTGATACAAAAAGAGATGACAAAAAGTCCTAAATATGTAGCATCTCATGTATATTGTGCATGTGTGGTATGACTATTATTTGAAATCAAGTGTCAAAATAAGCTGAACTTATAATC